AGCGCAGCGCCGTAGCCCGAGCTGAGCGCGCGTATCGGCGGGCCGCGGGGCCTCTCCGGGCGGCAGCGCCATGGGGCCGCGGGGCCGGGGCCTGCCGTGGGCCCTGGTGCTGCTGGCCTTGCGCGGAGCGGCCGGCGTCCCCCCCAGCTTCGTCCTCTTGCTGGCGGACGACTTGGGCTTCGGGGACCTGGGGAGCTACGGGCACCCTTCTTCTGCCACGCCCAGCCTGGACAGGATGGCTTCCCGAGGGCTGCGGTTCACCAACTTCTACAGCAGCTGCCCGGTGTGCAGCCCGTCCCGGTACGGCCCGCCCTGCTCGCTGGCGACGGACTGCGGGGCCCCGGGGCGGGGATGGAGGAAGCGTCGAGACGCGGCTTGGCACCTAGCTAGGGAGCTGCGGTGCTGGGAGGAAGGGGGGCTTGGTAAACCCGCCGTGTTCCAGGAGGCCCGAAGGTCTGGCTGCTCTGTTGAGGGTGGTGGTGGCAGGTCCTAGCAGATGGGGGAGGTGGCAGGGGCAGCCAGGAGACCGGGGAGCCAAGCTGCCAGGTCCCGAGGAACAGGGCACCCGCCCTCTGTGGAGGCTGAGCACCATGACCTGCGCCACGTCCAGTGCGATGCCCGTCTCCTCTCTCTCTTTTGACCCTCACCTGTAGGGCAGCCCTGATGACAGGCCGGTTCCAGATGCGCTCTGGGGTTTACCCGGGTGTGTTCAACCCAGACTCACAGGGAGGCCTGCCGCTCTCTGAGGTCACCATTGCAGAGGTGCTGAAGGCTGAGGGCTATGCCACGGCCATGGTTGGCAAGTGGCACCTTGGCCTGGGGATTAATGGATCCTTCCTGCCCGTCCACCAGGGCTTTGACCACTTCTTGGGGGTGCCCTACTCCCATGACCAGGTGAGAGGCCTGCCAAGCCCTGGAGGGTGTTCCGGGGCTGGTTGGGGAGAGGGCCTGAAAGGTGAAGCTTGCTTGGGAGCACACAGCCCAGGTTAGTGCTTGCCTGGGCAGATGGGCATGGATGGCTGCAGGCCGGGGAGGTGGATGCTGGTGGGCAAAGCCCAGCTCTGAGGTGCTCCTATGGTAGGGCAGTTTTGCCAAATGTGGGTGGCAGCTGTGCATGGGGACATACACCCCATGTCACGGGAGGGAGGGTCAGCTTCTGGGCTGCAAAGAAAGATCTGAATTGCTGCCAGGGGAAAGTGATGTTGGGGCAGCACGGTCCTTGGACAGTTCTGGGGTGGGCACAGACCCCTGGGCTTCTGGGAGAGGCTGCCCAAAGGGTGCCTGTAGGAGCTGGTGGTGGGCGCTGTGAGACTCTTTGCTCCCCTCCCCTCGCTGTCCTGCAACACAGGTAGCAGACAAAGTGTTTTTTGTTCTCTCCAGGGCCCCTGCCAGAATCTTACCTGCTTCCCGCCTGACATCAAGTGTTTTGGGACTTGTGACCAAGGCTTAGTGCCAGTCCCGCTGCTCTGGAACCAGAGCATCGTGCAGCAGCCGGTCTCTTTCCCTGATCTGGTGCCACTCTACAACAAATTCTCCCGGGACTTCATCGCTGACTGTGCCCGACGAGGCCTCCCGTTCCTGCTCTACTATGCCTCCCACGTAGGAGAGGGGGAAGACTGCTCTGGGCCCAAGGGTGGGGAAGGGAGCCTTTGTCCTGTGGGGAGAGCAGGGAAGCATCTCAGCTTCTGCAGCCCCAGGACTGTGCTGAGCAGTCAATACCTGCCCCTGGGTGACCTGGGGTTGCCATTCCTACACCCAGGTCTTGTGGCAGCACCCTTCTGGGAATGTTCTGGGGCCGCTTCTTTCTGGAGCTTTGCCCGCTCCTGTGGGCCAGGAGTCCACCCGGGAGAAGTTCCCATTCTGGGGCTCCACATCCTCTCCTGGGGCTCAGGTCCTTTGTGCCATTTCTGAGAGATGCTTCTGAAGCTTGGGGACAAGCCTCCTCTCATCTCCTGGGTACTGTCACATATCTCCACGTCCTAGCTGGGGTGTTCACTGTCCCCGGGTGAACTGGGAACCAGATGCAGCTGTGGGGGAGTTTGCGTAGTAGTCTTCTCTGCCCTTTCTCCAGCATACCCACTACCCCCAGTTTGCAAGCCAGGAGTATGTGGGGCAGTCACGGCGTGGGCCGTTTGGTGATGCGCTCTTGGAGTTTGATGGCTCGGTGGGACAGCTGCTGCAGGCGCTGGAGGAAAATGGTGTTGCGAACACAACCTTGGTGTTTTTCACCTCTGACAACGGGTGAGTGGGCTCAGCAGGGGCAACTTTGTCGCTGATAAGATTCTGCTGCCATGGTATGGGGGGAACTGGAATGAGACATTGGTTGGCTGGGGCAAAAGGGATGTGGTATGGCATTGTCAGGTGAGACCCCAGTGACCTGAAGTGAGAGGCAAGAGGTGGATGCTGCTCTGGAGATGGCCCAGTGCAGTCCTTCTTCCTGTGACTCCGCTGTGCCCCTCCTCGTGGGCAGAAACCTCACAGGATTTGGGCCAGGAGCGTACAGCCCGAATCTACCCCAATTCCCTTTGTGTGTGGGTGGCACTGGTCTCTGGTGCCCTGCTTAGGTGTCTTGCACAGCCTGGATTCTTCACCTGCCCCCTGTCTCCTGCCTCACAAGGCTGAGAAGGAAGGCAGTGGCGCTCGGTGGCACCGTGTCTCTTGCATGGCCCCGTTGGCAGCATCAGGAAAGGGGTAGCGTGAACCCGTGAAACTGATGGTAGGTGGTTCTTCTCTCTCACAGCCCTTCCACCATGCGGATGGCACATGGAGGCAGCTCTGGCCTTCTGAAGTGTGGGAAGGGCACAACATATGAAGGTGGCATGCGGGAACCAGCGGTGGCTTATTGGCCAGGCCATATCACGCCAGGTGAGACTTGGCGCTGCTTGTGCCTTTTGCGTGCTGATGCCAGCCAAGGCAGGGGTGTCATGGCAGCTGGGCTGCCCCGGGACTAGCAGAGGGCAGGAGAGAAGTGAGGATGGCAGGGCCGGGAGTGGGATCGGGTGCTTGAACCTTTCCTTGTGCCTTGCTGTGTGGGGTGACAGGAGTGACGCACGAGCTGGCAAGCACCCTGGACATCCTGCCAACACTGACTAACCTGGCTGGAGCAGCTCTTCCCAGAGTTGCCCTGGATGGCTATGACCTGAGTCCAGTGCTGTTTGGGTCGGGGAAGGTGAGTCCTGTGGGCTGGTTCGGCTGGCATGGTGCATGAAGGCTGGTGTGGGGCTGGAGCTGTGTGCCTGGTGAGCAGAGCCAGCTGGGGGTCGGAGGAGATCCATGAGCTGTGGGGACCTTGGGTCTGGCCTGGGTCACGCCATGGAGTTCCTGGGCTTCCCAGGCTGTTCTGCTCTAACAACTGCAACGTGTTGCCAAACCAAGCCCCCATGGCTGCAGTGGGCGGACAGAGCCCCAGTTGCTTTGAGTAGGGAGCAAACAGGATGTTGCTGCTGCTCGTCAGCTTCCCCCCATCTCTGGCCACGTTGTGGCTGTAGTGTCAGGGCTCCTGCGTGACTCCCTGGAGTCTGCCTGGTCCTGTTGCAGGCTCTTCTTCATCCTCATGGCTGCACAGGTGAGCTCAGCTCTGCTGCTTCCCGCAGAGTCCCCGTCGGACGATGTTCTTCTACCCGCCGTCCCCCGACCCACTGCACGGCCCCTTCGCTGTCAGGCTTGGGAAGTACAAGGCCCATTACTTCACACAAGGTTGGTGCCGCCTCCTGTCCTCTGCATGGGCACCTTTGTGAAGTCCTGTAGAGTTTTCCTGTCCAAAGCTCAGAGAAGAAACTAAGCTACACCTGGGGGTTTCTTTTGCAGGTTCCTTTCACAGTGATACGACCCCAGACCAGGCCTGCCATGGGCTGACCCCACTGACCCCTCACTTGCCCCCGCTGCTCTTTGACCTGGAGTCAGACCCGGCTGAGAACTACGATCTGCTGCAAAGCTGTGCAGGGCCGGAGGTTCTGCAAGTCCTGAGGGAGATCGAACTGCAGAAAGTGCTTTTTGAACAGCGCATGGAGTTTGGGGAAAGCCAGATCAGGAAGGGCGGAGATCCTGCCCTGCAGCCCTGCTGTGTACCAGACTGTACTCCTAAGCCTTCCTGCTGCCGCTGCTCCTAGCATCTTGCTGCTCCATCCCCTTCAGTTGCTCTGCACTGGAACCCTATCCCAAACCCACCAGACACCCCCCACCCCCAACTAACCAAGCTCAGCCTTAGAGCTACCCTGCAGCTTGGGCTCAGTGACAGCTCTGACTGATGGAGCACTGGGGAGGCAAACTGTGGGTTGGGGAGATTACGGACCCTGCCAGGAGTGCAGATCAGTGGACCCTGTGCTCCATGCAGGACGTTCAAGCTGAGGCCTCTTGAGAGAAACCCTGACTTGTTCAGGGAAGAACCATGATATGGCATCGCCTCCAGAGCCGGAACAGCTCCTTTCAAACCATGATCAAGATGAAGCAAAGGGCATGCCCCAGTGTCCAGAGGTCCCCCCTCAGCTGGAGGCATGCTGTGCACCCCTGGGTGGGAACAGAGCTGGGAGCTGGAGCACCATCACTTGCCAGGGGCCGAGAGCACAGCAAGAGAAGGATGGGATGGATGGTCCTGGCAGCTTCAGAGGCAGGACCTTGTGCCGCTAGTGCAGAGTGGACATGCCTAGGTGGGAAGCAGCTCTGGGTATGCAAGCTCAAGCACCTCCAAGTGCTTCACGACGCCAGGAGGCGGAGATGTGGTTGGCAGGCCTAGGCCTCTTGTAAGGTCTACGGAAGCTGGGGCTGATCAGTCAGGTGGGCTGCAACCACGTGCCATCCACATGGCTGAAAGGGTCTCGCCCTTCTTACTTATGAGCTAGTCCAGCTTCCAGTTCACTAGTGAACTGCACACGCACACAGTGCTCCCACCCGAAGCTGGCCCTGGACGCTCGGTGTTTCCAGCTGCTGGGTCCCTAGGACCTGTGTTCCCTTCTGCCATTGCTAGCAGCCAGGCCTCTGGACCCACTCCCCCACCGGGTACAGAGTGGGGCCACACAGAAAAGGGTTTGGAATCACTCTCAAAAAGAAGGTAGGACGTACTGTGGTGACTAGGTGCAGGGCTCGGTCAAACAAACAAACCAGCCAGCAGTTTGCTTCTGTGTGACTAGCTCCTTGATCCCCCTTCTCTCCAGTTCCCGTGCTTGGACATCCCCCTCATCCTCCTTGACTCCCCCTTTCTCCGCCCTTGTCTCCTCCCAGTCAAGGGACCTACCCCCGGGTTATTTTTTCCCCCTTGCTCCCAGGCTTGCTACATCTGTGGGCAGATTTGGTGTTTCGGGTGCTCGGTCACCTTGGACTTCCATGGCATTACCGATGCGGTTTCCTGGGTACTGCTGTCCCTGCCAGATTCCTCTCCCCAAAATGACCCCAACTCTTCCCTCAATTATCTGTGAAGTGTGGCCACCTCTCACATCAATCCGCCTTAACCACCTGCGAAATCTGGTACTGGAATAGCAGAGTATCCACAGAAGACAAGTTTTCTTCTCTAAGGCCTTCTGTCTGCTCTAAGCAGATATGGGGCACTACCTTGAGGTCAATTTTCAAAAAACAAAGCAGGCTTGAGTCCAGTTTGTTTGGGGCCCCATTCTGGTGCCTGTGAAGTCATGCTATGCCTCAAGTGCCTTGAGAGCAGCTCTTCCACTTTCTGACAGAGCCTGCCCTGTCATCCTAGGGCCCAGGTTGGCACTCAGTTGTGTGCCTTATGTCTATCCACACAAGCCAGGATGGCAGCAGGAAGCTCCTGCACCTTTCACGAGCTCTGAGGCTGCCGTTCTCCAAGCCACTGCTCTCTACCCTCTGGGGACCTAGTCCTGCTCAGCAAATGCAACGCACGTGGCTGGCACCTGCTTGTCTCCCGTGACTGCCCTACATTCCAGCGTGTGAGCAAAGCAGCACCATACAGCTGTAGAAGGCAAACTGATGAGATGCGGCTGATACAGGATTTACCAAAGCCATGGAGAATGGCATGTGTGCCTGAAAGCAGGAGCATCCTTCTCTGTCTAGAGCTTCGAATTGCATGTCTTTGGCCACGCAGACGAGGTGCCACCGCTGCCCTTGTCAGCGTTGGCCCAGAACAGCAATGTAACTCCTAGACAGCAAGGACATGCAGCCTGCCAGAGGGTGTTGCTGTGGCTGACACAGTCAGCGTGGACTGTGCTGCATCTGTGTTTCACTGTGCTTTGTGCAGGAAGGTTGACACTGCTTGGGTATGCTTGGCTTATTTGGCTTGCACATCACTGCTTGCCTGCCGCGGCTGTAACCAGATTGGCTCTTCAACACCCAAACACGTGCATACTGCCTGGAGTAGTTATGTTCTCTGGTGTATGTTTTTGGGGAAGGAGCTGGTGGCAAACGGCTGCAGAGAGCAGGGTGGCAGTGAACTATGATGCCACACTCGTGTTTTTCCTGCTAGCTGTTAGCAGGCAGCGCTCAGAGTCAGGCGCTGCTGCCTGCCCCAGGGCCTGCACCCCCTCAACCCGCAAGCAGAGCATTCAGCGAGGGTCCCTCGGGGGTGTCCGATCCCAGCTTCTGCCTCCCCTCCTGCTTGGAACCCCCATGCTGCCTCCCCCTGCCCGTGCCCAGCACTCGGAACCAGCGACTCTGTGACATCAGCACTGGGGCCAAGGGTACCGCGGGCAACGTGAGCACCGCGGGCACTACTGGTAGCAACAAGCCCTCGGTTCTTGCAGCTGCCACGTGCCGCTGGCAGCGATGAATTTGCTCCCCCTCCTCGTCCTGCTGGCCGTGTGCCGGCCTGCGCACGGCACGTGGGACAACTGTGGGTAAGTGGGCCGAGGCTCTGGGACGGAGCTTGGGCAACCCTTGTGGGGTTCACTGGAGGGTGTCCGCTTGTCCCCCGTGGCCACACCGCAGCTTCCCGAACCCCACGTGGGAGCCTCAGTTCCTTGCCAGCACCCAGGCTGCTGGCTCAACTCGTCTATGCGGCTAAAGCAGAAACGGGGGTGGACGGACGCACGCCCCACGGCGTTCCCTGGCCCTGCTGCCCATGCAGCGCCTTGTGGGGAGGGAAGGCGGCTGACCTTCAGCCTGGACAGCAGCAAGCCATCGAGCAGGACAGTAATGAGTTTCTGGTTACAGCGGGACCTGCGGGCTCCGGCCCATGGCTTCTCACTACGGCATGTCGCGCGTCGTGGGTGGCACAGATGCCCAGCCGGGGGCCTGGCCCTGGATCGTCAGCATCCAGGATCCCTGGAAAATAGGCACGGGGCATATATGCGGAGGGTCCCTCATCAGCCCGCAGTGGGTCCTCACGGCAGCTCACTGCTTCATTGAGGCCAGGTAAGGAGGACCAGGGAACGGGGATATCCCCACAACACCGGCAGGTGCCCTGTCCGCAGCACCCCGTGCTACTCCCGTCCCGTTTCCCTGCAGTACGCCCGCTGCCTGGGCACTGCAGAGCCCAGCTGAGAGACTGCTCAGGAGAAGGCTGGGCTCGTGCCGCTGCTTCCTAGCAGCGTCCGGCTCGAAATTCCTTGTGCCTAAGGCATGCTAGGGCTGTCACACCCTCTGTGGCACTGCTTTCCTCTCTCCCTTGTGAAGCAGAAGGCAGGGAACTGCCAGGCTGCTGCAGCACATGGCTCCGCTCCCTCTGACCCCTCTCTCCGTCTGCCTTCCAGCTATGTCACGATGTGGCGCGTGGTGATCGGAGCCACCCAGCTGACTCAGCTGGGCCCTGAGGCCCAAGTGCGCAATATTAAGCGGCTGCTGGTTCACGAACGCTATAGTAACATCTCGGAGAGGAACGACATTGCGTTGCTGGAATTGGACCAGCCTGTCCAGTGCAGCTACTACATACAGCTTGCCTGTGTGCCCGACGCCTCGCTGAGAGTGTCAGAGCTGACCACCTGCTACGTCAGTGGCTGGGGTTCCACGACCGCCAGATGTGAGTTCCCCAAAAGTACTCGTGTCCCGAGCGTGAGCTCGGCACGCTGGGGAGAGGGCTTGGGCTTCCTGACAGCAGAGGCGAAAGCCAGAGCCAGGCTGCGGGGGCGTATGCCTGTCTATAGAGAGATGGGCCTGACCCGTTACCCAAAGCACGACCGAAGGGAAACACCGGTGCAACACCATCAAGGTGCAAAGCCAAGCCCTAGGGAAGGGGTTCACCCAGCCAGGGGAGCAGAACTGGTGACAAGCTGCTGGGTGTTAATTCCTTTCTCTGCCCACAGCTGGAAGATCAGCTGATGTCCTGCAGGAGGCCAAGGTCCACCTCATTGACATCAACCTCTGTAACAGCACCCGGTGGTATAGAGGGGCCATCCACACCCACAACTTGTGCGCTGGCTATCCGCAGGGTGGCATCGACACCTGCCAGGTAGGAGCGTGCTACAAGTCAACCCCCAGCAGCACAGGCAGCCCTGTCACAACCGCCCAAACATACCCCGGCGCGTGCTTTGCCTGGCAAGTCACCCTCCCGCTGTTGGGGCTTACCTCCCCTTCCCCATCTGCAGGTCCTTGCCCAGTGCCCCCTTGTCCCAGAGGCCTGGGACTCTGCCCAGAAAGCCCGTCCAGTGCTCTTGGCAGCCCACAGGTCCAGATCCCAATGCGGGAACATCCGTCTTCCACACATCCAGGATCACTGTGCAGAGATGAGAGACAGCCCTGCCTTACAGGCCCACGACCCCCCCCCAGACAAGGGTCTGTAGGCTCCAGCACCTGAGCAGAGCCTTTCTGTGCAGTGAATACAGCTCTGGCAGGTGCTGTGAGAGAGAAGGAGACAGCCACAGTGCTGACAGAGGCCACCCAACAACACCTTAACCCTCTCTCCTCTGCTGCAGGGCGACAGCGGTGGCCCTCTCGTGTGCAAAGATAACACCTATGACTACTTCTGGCTTGTTGGAGTGACCAGCTGGGGGAAAGGCTGTGCAAGAGCAAAACGGCCCGGAGTCTACACCTCCACTCAGCACTTTTACGACTGGATCCTGGTACAGATGGGACTGCGCCCAGCAGGAACATCTACTCCAACACCACGGCCAGTGTTCACCTCAACCCCCTTTCAGAGGCCAAAGCCAATACCAACACAATCGGGCAGGTTTACACCCTGCCCATTTCCACGCCAGAAGCTGGTGGAATTCTTTAACCTGCTGCAGGAGCTCCTGCAGGTCCTAAGGGGAAAAAAGGCTTGAGCAGCAGGGTGAACAGGATCCAGTGCAGGCTGCAGTGTACCACGACCTTTTCCTTCTGCCGCAATGCCTGCTGATCCAAAGACAGCCACAGTGTCAAAGGCCTGCTCTGTGCTGCCCACACTCCTCTGAGTGCACGCAAATGGTGAAGTTGACTTAGTTCTTGAAATAAAGTTGCCAATTTTCACAGTTAACCATGTTCCAGTCCAGTTCAAGTCTCCTGTGCAAGGCCAGGACATCCATGCCCGGCACTTGCAAAACAAGGCTGCAGGCAGACAAGTAGGGCACAAAGGGGAAGCGTCACTCAAAAGGGCTGAAACCGTGTCTGGTCAGAGGAGGGTGAGGGTGCAATGCAAGAAGGGAACACACAGTTCCTAGGGGGCTAGAGGTCTTGGGGACAGCAGTTGGGAACACAAAGTGTCTTATAGTGGCTACTGGTGGGATCCCTTGTGTGTGTACAATGCACCAATGAACTTGAAACTGGACTCTCTCATGACCCACGAGAGATGGATCTAGAAAGACCCAAGGTTTGCACCAATGACTAGGTAAGGAGCTTGACATCCAGCCACGTATATTACATGGACTTAATTTCTACGCTGTTATTTGAGGAATCTATGAATGTGCTGTGCTTATGAATCTAGGGAGTGAAAGTGTGTTTATGTTTCACTGGTAAACAGCTAATCCTGATCATCTGGAAAGGCAGAAAAGGACTGAACTGTGTTCATATTTATGTAAGTGGTGGTTACTTATGCATGGATGTTGGTAAAAGCATTGCTCTATGTCAGTCTGTTTTGCCGTTCACATTAATTGTGTAAGTCTGTGTGTTTCTGTGCCTGGCTCTTTGGAATGCAGCGTAAGTCTCTTGGACACACACTTGGGAACAGCAGCAGCCACATCCATTAGGCTGGGATAGGACAAGCCTCCTGGGTGTGAGAACCTACCTGATTCAGCTCTAGTGGACCTGAAAGGAGAAATCCCTTATGTTCAGAAGTCTGCTGGATCTGGCTGATCTGTAACAGAATGGGGAAGGAAACCCAAAGAAACTCTGCAGCAGAGATGACAGGGGTGGATAGAGAGGCAGCACCGGCTAGGCTGTGAAAGCAATGGGGAGGGCTGGCAGTTGGACTTGCACTGTATAGTAACCGGACTGCCTTATAACAAAAGTTCAGGAAAAATGCAAGCTCAAAGCTTTATAAAAAAAATTCTTTAGTGTTTGTTTTCTCCAGTAGGTATCATTAAAGCATCTGGGCAGGACCCTTCCCTGCGGGTCCAAGAGTGCCTCCGCTCTCCTGGCAAGATTTGCCTTGAAGAAGCATGCAGTAACTAGCAACCATGTGGATACTTTCACCCTTTCCTTGACCATGATGTGCAGTGGGTAGGGCCGAGTCAAGGAAGGTCATACTCAGACAGTCTCCCACAAGAAGGGGAGAAGCCCAGCTGCCCATCACCAGAGCTCTCAGGGCATGAGAAAAATCACTTTCCTCTGTGAAGGCCAGCTCTAACTAGCCCCAGAAATCTAGAGCAAATGGAGAAACAGACTCAGGGTCCAGGGCTTAGGCAGATGGGGGCTTCTCCTCAGGGCAGCTCTCTTTATCCGACGAATTCTCAGTCTTCTTCTGCAGGTCAAAGCTCTGGAAAGGAGCAGGACAAGGAACTGCTGAGAAGCATGAGAGCAACAGCTACGCTCTGCTGTGGTTCGTTCAAATTCGGTCTAGGGCATTGTGGGCTCTTCAGAGGGTCACCATCTCGCCCCTTCCGGCCTAGACACGAGCAGCACACAAACCCTATGGTGTCACTAGCACAAGGCAAGTCTTTCCATGCCTGCAAAGTTTCACCCTTTACCACAGGCTCTGCTTTCCCTGAGGGAAAAAAGAGCAGAGCTGCTAATCACTTAGGAGGAGTGCCGTAAGCAGAGCCTTTCTTACCTCCAGTTCTCGCATGACCTCATCCATGAAATCTCCTGAATTCTGTTTGTAAGCAACTGCCAGTTTGATAGCATCATTGAAGAGCTGATGAGAAGGAGAATGCTTGTCACTCAGAGTAAGGGGCACTGTGTTTCTGTAACATATGGAAACTGTTCCCACACCCCAAGAAAAAAACAAAACAAAACACCTCTGCAACTACCTATAGCTACCAGGACCTCACAAGCACCCAAACAGATGTACTAGCCCATTTTCTGTTTTCTTTGCCTACAGCAGTCTCCATGTCCTTGGACTGTATAGGGGTCTCATGGATGCTGAGCCAAATAGCTATGTTTTACCTTCACTACATTGGTGCCATCTGCAGCAGACACAAAGTAAAAGGGCAAACTGAACTTCCGGGCAAAGTTGAAGCTTTTCTGGGTCACCTTCACATCCGCTGGGGGCAAAAAAAGAAGCGGTCAGTAAGACATCACTGTGGGCTGAATGCCAACATATGCCCAAGTGGTAGAACAGATGGAGACCAGAGCCTGATTTAGCTGTCAAGGCCTCCTCACTGTAGTACAAGGCTAGGAGAGTCCTCCCCAAAAGCTCTAGGGTTTTAAAAGCAACAGCATCAGCAAGCTGTTAACAAGAAGACACAAAAAAATTCTTGTTCATTTATTCATGGTGCTTGACTAAATTATAGATGGATTCTGCTGTGCTATAAATGAATAATGCTTTGCAGCTTAGAACATATCAGTTCACTTGCTGTGCAGCAACTATGAATGTTTTCCAGGCACTTCCCTATGATTTTTGCTGTGTGTCCACATGACCTGGACATCACTGCCAGTACTAGTCATGCCTCTCTCTCCAGTTTGGCCTTTTAACCAGAACTCCCCACTGCCTTTATGCCATGTTACCTATATTCCTGTGAGTCAAGGGCATGCTCACACTACACAAATGACTCAACTGTTACATATTTTTACTTAACGGGGAGCTAGGTCCAGCTACCCCAACCTTAGTAGGCCACAAGCTTTATTTCAGTTTTGGAACAAATCTACTGCATATTTACAGGACATGTTGACACAGCAGTAACAGCTCAAAGTTTTGATAGATAGCCAGCCTGTATGTCAGCACAGGAGGATGACTCCACATGATTCGCCTTTTCTCAAAGAAGCAACAGCTGAAGTAGTTCAGACTCCAAATGCTTGCCAGTGAGCACTGCCCAGGCAGCTGCTCCCTACCTCTTTGCAGGAAGCTGGATCAACTGTTCTACAGACTGGGCCTGTGTTAAGAGCTGTGGGCTGATCATTTTCTAGTCCAGGTGGAATACAGCAAGTGAAGGCAAGGCAGAGGACTGTCTTGGAGCAGTGTCCACTCATACACAGAACACTAAGAGCAGGATTCATCTACGCAGAGGTTCTGTCTACAATATGTCTGTCAACACCAAGTCCATTTGCCTTGGACTTCCTGTACAGTCCATGCAATCAGTGGATTCAAGGCTGGCTTGACATGTCCTATAGGAAAGGCTTTTATTAGGTAAGATCAGTCCTGCCCTAAACCACTGAACAATAATGAACTTCTGTAGACTACAGTGGGAGCCCAGACACATTATTCAGATGGACACACCCATTCATAGCTGCAATATTTCTACCATGAATGTCAGCAAGGAAGACCATGTCTGACACTGTACTTGATAAAGAATAGCAGACTATGGTCCTAAGGGTATGTGTTCTCTCATTGATGCTGAGCAGAAAGCTGATGTGTTATGCATTCCCACAGGATGCAGGAGACAGATCACAACCCAAATGATAGTAACAACGAATGCCTAGCTGGCATTCCTAAGAGGAGGGAATAATCCAGTCATCTGCACAGGAAGGTGAACAATTTTGCCAGCAGGTATACTTAGACACTTTAGCACAGAGGAGTCCCACGGAAACCTGCAGGCTGAATTAGCAATACAAAGGCAGTTACTGACTGTATCAGGGGAAGCCACATAACAGATTATGCTTCTTTTCCAGCAAGACATCCTGCAATTTTTTACTAGGTAGTGCTCCAATCAGCTTCCAGGTTCTTGCTGGATGAAATGGGCAACGTGGTAATGACAGAATTGGAAGGACATCACTTGAATAAACTTTAAATAGATCAAATTTGTATTTTTATTGCTAGTAAAGCAAGCAGAAGAGCCTGTAAGACAGCAAGCAAGGTCAGTAGAGGACCCAGCTATTCATTTGGTAAAATACAGCCCTGAGGGACTAATACTCAAGAACTCATCTGGACCTAACGAATGAATGGTATTCTTTCTGAGCCAGGTCAGAAGAGAATCACATCACAATCCTGACAGGTTGAAAGAAGATATACTTACCATCAATTTTGTTGGCCACCACAATGCAAGGAATCTCTGGGCGGAATTCTCTCAGCTCCTTGTACCAGCTGTTTAAGTTCTTGTAGGTGACTTTCCGCTGCACATCAAACACCTTCCAAAAAAGAACCAGCTAACATGGGGCCAACAGCAGGACAGCGCCTGATCAACCCACTGCACCAAACACAAGTATGGAATCCAGAATTTTCCCAGGAGGACATCAACAAAGAAAACTGGCTTTTGTTAGAAAGGATGAAAGAGAAAATGGAGAATATCCAGCAAGCCTTGAAACATGCAGCCAGGCCATTTCTTTGCATAGTGCAGGAAATAGTCCCTCATTTTCCTTTCATTCTTATTTTGTACTATGACAAGCACTCTATCACCCATGACAGTGAACAAGCACTGGGAAAGATCTGTTCTGCTAAGTAGGGTCAGATATGAGGCTTCTCTATTTTAACAATTAAAATATCAGTGAAGTTGACTGATGCTCACAAGTGATGAGAAATAGTGGAAAGTTAGAGCAACAGTACAAACCAAGAGACCTAAGCGGGTTAAGAGTCAGGAAACAAGACTGATCTGAGCTAATAAATGGGAATTGCAAAGTATAGGAAAATAGAAAGGCAAAAGACCGGAGAAGAATGTCTTATATAGTAACCTGCCGAAAGTCAGAACAGTTTTGTACTAATCCAATAGTCACATCCCAGAACAAGAAAGGAATGCCCTCTCCCTCACATCACCTCTGACAGGACTGGTTGTAAATAAGTACTTTCAGTTGTTCATACCACCTTACTGGAAAGGCAGTGACAAAAGTAATGAAAT